CGAGATACCGCGTGGATTCGGATTTCCACGTAACCTTGATTATGCGGACTAAGAGCAGTAGTTCCACAACACTTGACCCAGTCATGGTGTAGTAGCGGTCCCTACCCACGGTTCCTAATCAAAGCTTGAAAAAGTCTCACTTATGAGCAGCTCCCTTTTCTAATTTGCCTTAATTTCCATCACAAAACGTAAAAGAACAAAATAAAATTATTACATTAATACAGTAGTAAAACAGAAATTATGTAGACATTGGACCCCTACTTACATACGTCTCTATCCCGAATGTAGACACAGAGTAGTGAAACATTGGGCGGAAACAAGAGATAAAAATTTAAAGATTAATCAATTATATCATATGAGTTGATACGTATAATGTTAAGGATTTTATGAAAAAAAAAATATTAGTTTTTAAATAATATAAATTTTATTTTTAAATATTTTAAGTAAAATAATGTATGTTATGTTATTAGTCTTAAATTTTAATATTATAATTTTAGTTCAATTTATTATTATACGTAGATATAAATTGTCACCTTAATTTCTACGCAATAACAATATACCCATGAACGTAGTTTCTGGGAAACTTTTTTAAGTAAAATGTTTCGGCTGTTCAGCTTTCTTGTACGAATACAAAATTGAAAATACCCATGTAAGTAGTTTCTCGGAAACTTTTTTGCTAGTAGGATGTTTCGGCTTCCATTCTTCTGTGTTACCCGAAGTTGGAAGGAACGTCACACATTTTCTTCTTATGCACACAAATTTCTACCCTTCTACTCACTTTTTGTCCCACAGATTAAATAGAAATTAATGTATTGATGCTTTGAAAGAATGTGTGGCTAGTAATAACTTGAAATTTCAACTTTAAATCTTGATATTAATGAAGAGATATTTGAAAATGAAATAATTATTCTTTTAATATTGTATAATTTATCCTAAGATGTAAATAATAATAGTAATAATAAAGTAATAATGATCAATAAAAATGAGGCATGTAATTATTCTCTAAGTATGTAGTGATCAATATATATAGGAGTTAGTATAGTGCATACTGTTTCCTCAAATTTTTTTTTTTTGAGAACTTATTTAAAATTGCACTTTGAAATTAATATTTTCAAAAACTAATCATTGGATATAAAATTTTGTTTATATAGATCATATATATTAATTTTTATATTAATTTAATATTATAATTTTTTATTAAAAAAACCTATTTATTTACATAAATTTAAGAATATTAAATTTTGTATAATTAATGAATTTGTTAAACCTCTAAATCAATATAAAAATTAACATTTATAATACATATAAATAAAAATTTTCAATCAAATAATTAATTTTTAACAATATTATTAAGATATAAAATTTTAAATAGGTTTTTTTTTTTAAAGTTTAAAACGACGACCTACAAAATATTTTTCATATATACATCTGCTTTGTATATATTATGCTTCTATTTCCGTTTAGATTGCAATAATAATATATTTTAATATTAGATTCCCCTAATATCTTAGATTAATTAACATAAAATGACACACATCCCCACTTTTAATCTTACTATATGAAGACAAAGTTTTCACGTGCCTTGATTTGTTTTTTAGTTACTAAGCACTTTTTTTTTTTTTTGGAATGAATGTAATGATACTATTTAATTCGTTCTGTTTTGTACTCACCGCACGGTCTTTCATAATTATTCAGTTAGATTAGTTTAATTAATTAATTTAACTTTCTCCATCATCAGCTAATTACAAATCTAACGCGGACCTTGATTAATTTAATTTTTTTAATATGAAATTTATCCTTTACAACAAGAAGGTTAAGCCACGGTTCAAAAGCATGTTGCTTGCCTCCTTTTTATTTTTTATTTTCATTTTTTTAATGAAAATGTTGCTTGCCTCTTTCTATCGAGTAATAGCCATCAGGGTTAGTATTAAAAATAAAAGTGTAAATTACGTAAGAAAACTAATACTATGAATGAAATTAAAAATTGATAATTTTAGTTTGGTTAAGAAAAATGAAATTTAAAAAATAAAATTTATTAAGAGGAGAAATGTGTTCAATATGCCTTTGTATCAACATCAACGTAAGCACGGGGGCGTGCTGCAATGACGCCACCAATCAACGTTGGATATCTAATCTCTATCTAATGTTTGGGACTACACGCAATAATAGTCCCCAACTTTACAGTTAGTTTTCACTTCAGTCCCCTATATTCAAATACTAACAATGAAGTTCCTTGACTTAAAAAATACTTCTATTACTTGGTCTTCTCTGTCATAGATCACACAAACATCATCTTCCAAATAGACAGCTTAGCCACATCAAATTCTACACAATTAAATATTACTAGTTCCTATGTTTTGATAATGTTTTTAATTACTTCAATTATTATTAAATAAATAAAATGAAACGTTGGCTTTATTTTGACTTTTAAGAGAAGAGTTGGTAATGTTCTTTTTAGGGGTATAAAAGGATGCTTCCTTCCCTTTTCGACATTTAAGGAGGTCAAAAACTTGAAAACCAAGTACATCATACGTTTAGGTTTTCCTTTCCGTATAATCAATTGTTGCTCCTATTATAATTGATTGAGGTTTGATAACTTTTTTTTAAAAAAAGTTATGTTTATTACTTAATGTGTTAATATATAATAAATAATCCAAGAATGGTTGAAGTTGGTGGTTTATCTATGCTCATTTGGGTAATTGGGTAGGGTTTTCTAGAAGAGTTGAAATAACTACCGACCTTGCTATTGTAGGGCTCTATGCTATTCTCGATAGTTTAGAATTTGTTGTTAGCAGAGAAATATCTAAATTGATTTTGGAAATTGATTTAAAAGTGGCTAAAATCCTCTTAAATACTGCTAACCAAGACTTTCACTTATTGGGTGTCTTAATCTTTGATTATAGGCGTTTGTTGAGCTAGGTTTCTAACTTCAAACTTATTCATATCTATTGAGAATCAAATGTAGTAATAAAGTTTCTTACAAAATTTGAATCCATCTCAGTTTATGTTGTTATGAATGAGAGTCCTACTAAGGTTTGTAATTTTATGACTGCATAAAACCAGTTGTTCTAAGAATTATAATTGTTGTTTAATTTATTTTAATTTATTCTCTCTGATTATAGTTATAGTAAATTATTTTTTATATAATATTTTGTTTTTTTAAATAAATTTTTGTGTGCCATAACTATCAAATTTTTGTTAAAATTATTTCTTGACTTATCATATTAATGTTAAAAACTTAAAATTCTTTACAGTTATATTTTATTTTAAGCTTTTTTTTTTTTTTTTAGCAAATGGACAATATGGGGTTGTAATGGTACTACCACTTGTAGCAATCAACCTTGTTGGCTTAAATTGAATCTAAGATCTAATGGTCACAAGCTCTTAAATTGGAAGCATGAATCATTAGGTCCATTACAAGGGTCATTGCAAAGTTGGATTTTGAAGGTAGGAAACCTATGGCTAGATAAAAAACTATGGGACCAAAAAGAATGTGAGTCTTAAGTTGATGGACTAACAATCTATCCTAATAGTGAGGGACAACGCGGAGAGAGGTTTGAACTTTGACGAGTCTGTCTTGACATCGCCATTTTTTTTTTTCTTCAATCCGAGCTCGTATTGGTGGTTTGAATGAGTCAGAAAAATCCTCTCCCCTTATCCCACTATTATATTTACCCCCTGATCACATCCCCACAATACTCATTCCATTTTGTGAAGTAGAAAGCCAAAACCAAAACCCCCTCTCTTTATTTATTTATTTATTCATTTCCAAGCAAAATCCTCCTCTTTGCCATGTCATTTCTGTGAAACATCCTCCTTAGCTTCCCTTTTCTTTTTCAAACCCAAAGTGCCTTTTTATTCCCCTTCACTCACTCAACCATCCTTACCCCCTCTCCCTTTCTTCACGCTTATATCTCTCCCTTCTTCTGAATCTCATCTTCTTACCATGATCTAGCATTGCTCCTATTTTCTTACTCTTACTTGAACGGTTTTGGTACAATTGTAAATGGAAAAGGGTATGGATTGGGAACAGAGATGCCTCTTGGACGTGCTAACACATGGGAAAGATCGGGCTAAGCAACTTCAGAAGCATCTCACTTCCTCCTTATCTACTCAGATGGGGTTCGTGTTAGTAGACGACATACTCGGTTGCTATGAGAAGGCGCTCTCCGTACTCAATTCCGGTGCTCTTTCCGAAACCAAATCCGCCGTTACCATGCTAGAATCACCGCCCTCCGTCGCCAATAGTACCGACGCCGCTTCAGATCAAAAGGAAGTGTCCAAAAAGAGGTAACAAATTAATCAATTTGCAGTAATTCCTTTTGAATGAATAATGTGATTCGGGTCTGAATTTGGGTTTTTTTGGATCTTACAGAAAGACAATGTCTACGAGGACTGAGTATGTAAAGGCTAGCGCCGGGACACCCCAGGAAGTTCCTCTTGATGATGGATACTGCTGGAGAAAATATGGGCAAAAAGATATTCTTGGTTCCAAACATCCAAGGTTCGAACTTTAGAAAATTTTTCTTTGCAATTCAGACACCAAACAGGGCAATTGAATTTAAGAAAAGCCAAATTTTACAAGGACCACAAAAACAGTGTCCAGGGTTCAATTATTCTCCACTTTTGTGAATTATCTATTGATGGGGTTTCATTTTTACTTGGATTTTAGTGCTTGTACAGCATCTAATTCTCGGTACATTTGCAAATTGCAGGGGATATTATAGGTGCACCCACCGCCACTCTCAGGGATGTCTGGCCACCAAGCAAGTCCAGAAATCTGACGATGACCCCACAATCTTTGAGGTCACCTATCGGGGAAGACATACGTGTAAACAATCCTCCCATTTGGCGGCCGCCGTGGCTGCGGCGCTGCCGATGGAAGCAGAGTCCATGGAGAAGCCAGAGCAACCAGAGGAGGCGATGTTGAATTTCGGAACAGGGCTTAGAGTTAAGACGGAGGAGTTGGAGACCAAGGAGGAAATATTTCCTTCCTTTCCTTTCCCTTACTCGTCAAATGAATTGGAAGAAGGGGGAAGCAATATTTTTCCGGAGTCCATGTTGGAGAATGAAATAATGGCAAGTTTTCCCTCTGCCTTCGTGTCTCCGGTGTCCTCCGAATCCAACTATTTCTCAATGTCATCATGCCACGTTGGCAGTTTCGGGTTAGGACAGACATCGGAATCTGATCTGACCGAAATAATCTCAGCTCCGGCTTCAGTGACCAATTCACCAGACCTGGATTTCTCAGTAGAATTGGATCCGAATTTCTCCTTTGACAATCTTGAATGTTTTTCTTGATATAAGAAAGTTTTCTAAGAAACCAGATAAGTGAGAGAAGAATATGCTCTGCAAATTGCAATTGATATAAAATTCCGGCCATCATTTGATAAGTACTTTGGAGAATATTAATATCCAGAAAGACTGTAAACAGATTCCAAAGTCCTTGTATATGGAATCATGGATGCTGGACACGAGATTCTGTTTCTTAGGTAATTAGATTTTTTTTCTCCCCAAATAATTGTTAGGACTTTTTTTGTTTTTGTTTTAAATTTGATATAAGTTTAAGGTTGTCTGTTGTAACCATCCAGACAATAAATTGTAATTTTAATCTCTCTCCTTGTACAATGATATTGTAAAATGGGCAGTTAAGGGTTAACATGAATCGGTGGTTTAGAAGATCCGGACTGAGTCCAAGTTCAGTCAGATTTAGAGATGCTGTTGACATCATGTTTGAACACTAATCCAATTTCTTCCATTGCAAAAGCGCCCTGTCCAATTTTTTATTTTCTAAGACAAGTTTTTTCATTGGGGTCTGGACTGTGAGTTTTTAAATTTTGTTTTTGTCATGTGTAATTTCCTCGCTTTCACACAGGGAAGAGAGAAGTGTCTCCTCCCACTAGGCCACAAGCTGTACGCACAACCTCTAACTTCTTATTGTGCCTTGGCACTTATTTCTCCGGTGCTCTTTTTGAGTGTATATAATCCTACAAGAAAAGTGCAATTTCTATTTGTTTGGTGTAAGCTTTATAGTGACTAACTAGTGTTTTTATGTGTCCTGTCATAAGGTATTATTTACTTTGATTATAAGGCTCATAACTTTGTAATTAAGAAACTTTTTATGGGAGAAGATGCTAAATAAGGCAAAAATGTGAATCTTATCAGATAGAGGAAAATAATAACTTATGACGAGATATAACGTCATCACGAGATTAAAAGATATGTAGTACCGTCAATGAGACAGTGCTGCAAGGAATTGGAAGATGAAGGGGAGTGCAGCAGGATTCATGGATGGAATCTTTGAAGCCTTTTCCATCTTTCAAACGAGATGCAATCAATACAGAAGCCGTGTAGATCAGTCTCTTCACTGTAAAGTTATTTTTTTTCTTTTTTCTTCTTCTTCTTTTTGATCAGCTCTCTGCAGAGCCAGCGAACAACAAAGGGTAGGGTCCCGTTTTCTTGTAACCTAACTTTAAAGTTTTTTTTAGTCCTTACTAAGGGATTTATGGTAGGGCCTTTGGCCTTGTTTTTTCCCTCTTTCTTTCCTTCAGCGTTGGTCCTTATCTTTTATTTCTAAACTTTTGAAACTTGAGATAGGCTCATACGTAACCCTTCTATACGTAATTCTGCCACAGGGCCAGCCTCAGATGTATTTTAAAATGTTCCAAACGGAATCTGATCAGGGTTACTCTCTGTCCCCTGCTTTGGTTTGGTTTGGTTTTGTCTTCTTCTTTTCTTTCCTTTTTCCTTTGGCCTCAATACTATGGTGTTTATTAATTAGGAATTTTAATTCCCCCCACCCCCCAAAAAAAGGTGTCTAAACAAAAACCTGGGAATTGAGGGGTTGATAATGCAAAGGGGTGGCCATATGGACCACAAATTCGCATCCTTCAACTACATGTTTGAACTCATTGGAATTGTACATGTCATATAGCTTCAAACACCTTCAATTTGGTGTCTGCATTGGAGAGACTCCTGAGAAGCCCTACTTTATATTGATCACCTGCATCATAGAAGAATCTGGAGAAGACTTTGACACAATTAAAGAGATTATGCAGCAAAATTGAATAGAAAACAAACCCAGATTTCAAGGTGTTGCATGGATAATATAATCCTATTTGTAGCAGCTTTTTGACAATAGAAGGACCAAGGTACCTGGCCCATCTGTCACACAGACCTTACTCTAGTGTTCACCATACTGTGTTGGACTTAGAGCAGGAAATCTGAATACATTCTATTGGAAAATGCCTACTTCTTAGTTAGTTACTCAGTGAATTCTGTTTTTTCCTTTTAAGGCTATATTTGCATGGGTGTTACCGTTTTCGGCGGAGACCTGACAAAATGTGTTACATGCACCGTTTCTTGCTTCATTTCCACCCCCTTTAACACGGTCCATGAGGTCCACGCCCTTGCCTTAATCATGTGCAGTTGTGCATGTCGTGTGTTGTGGGTTAGAAGGTTCCCGCCCCCCCATGTCCCACAATAACCATAGAACACGGCCAATAATTAAAAGAAGAATTTAAGCATGTCCCTTGCTTCCTTTTTTGAAGTATTGTTTTTTTTTGGTCGGCTTTTTAAAATTATTGTTGATATTAAGAAAAGTGCTAATTAAGGGTTATAATGATGTCAAGTTTAAGGGAGAATATCAAATTCAAAACAGAACACAGCCCCTAATGAGGAAAGAATCCCCAGAGCCAGCTAACAGGGGAAAAAAAAAGGCTAAATAATACTAGTTATAAGTGCCCTGTAGACCTAGCAAACGAACGGATTGGATTGGGTTCGGGTTGAGTCAATTCGAATGATGGGTTATACGAGTTAGATTATAAATGGGTTGTGGATTGGAAAAATATAACCTTAACCCGACCTTTACAGGTTACGGGTTAACCCGCGGGTTGATCTTATTTTCATTTTTTATAATTATTTTTTATTAATTTTATTATATATAAATAAAATTATATATATCTAATTAAAGTATTGTGATTGATTAAAACTAAATAATTTATAATCTTAACTACAAACAATTAAATTAAGAAAAAAATCATAAAGTTATAAATAATAATAAGTTCGATTAACAATAACAATATTAAATGTAAAATATTTAAATTTCTTGAAAAATAAAGTTTTAATTTTATAATCATCCTAAAACATTATCAAGTAGTTTAAGTCATTTTCTTAATGATGAAATTGCTCTTCCAAGAACATATTCCACTTAGTTATTATGTTTATGTCCTAACATCACATCTTTTAATATTTTTAGTTGCATTATCATTTTATTCATGATACATAGGTAATTGTTAATACCAAAAAAAAAAAACTTGGATAATTAGATCAAACTCATCATAATTTCTTCATCTTTCTCTAGAAATTAGGGAGTATGAATTAATAGAAGAAATTAACAATAGAAAAATTAATTAAGAATAATAAGTATAATATTTAAAAATAATAATAATAAATAAAACAAACATATCAACTCATCAACCCACGAGTTGGCCCTAACCCGATTCATGACCTGTACGAGTTGATAATACAGATTATCTATGAGTTGAGGGTTGAAATGTGTAAACCCTAATCTATTTTTATAGGTTGAATTAGAGTCTGATTGACAGGTCAGGTGTATTTTTGCTAGATATAGCGATTTGCCTAAAATACAAATACAAGATATATACAAGTGGAACAGATCAAACTGTATTTTATGTGGATGAGGAATTAAGCATTGATTCCAGTCAACCTCAAATTGGTGAAATAAGGAAAAAAAAATACAGTCTCAAGACATGAGTACATGATCAAACATAGTTTGGTGCGCACAAATTGATTGGGAAACCAGCCTGTTAAACTTTCTGAAAAGGAAAAATCTAAAGCTGAAGAAAGATACAATTACTTTTGGTTTTGGAGATAGCCAGTCCTCCTCGCACATCTCACACAATCATCTAATATCATCTTCATATCACATTTGTATTCAAATCCTTTCTCGATGAGTCTGCTGGAGCCCCACTGGCCCTTCCTCTTTGTTCCTTCTAAGTACCCGAAAACCAGTTTCATTTCATTAGAAAATCTGTTTGAATTTCCACCTTGGAGAATATATAGTTAGCTACTCACTCTTGTTTTATAGGGAATTCTGGGTGATTTTCTTGGTAGTACTCTGCGATTTCCACAGATGAAACGAAGGAGCTAGCACATAAGAATCTGCCATTGATTCAAGCTTGGTTCAAGTAGAAAATAAAGGCATCACAGACATCATTGACATGCACAATTGGGATTTTCACCCCCAACTCTTCTAAATATTTTAGAGCCTTGTATCCATAAGGACCATAAACCTTGTCTACAAGATGTGAAATAAACAAGGCCACACTTCGTGGTGTATAAGATAGGAGGGTGTTATCTCCTCCCACCAACCCAATTCCAAGAGTAACCACCTCTAATCCTCTGCCTTCCTCAATACTGCTTCCATAGCTCAGTATTTCTTTCTCTGACAGTGTCTTGGAATCTCTGTAAGCCTACAATTTAGTTGAATTTCTAATTACTATAAAATGCATGAACTGTTCACTGAAGGCTGAAAAATGGCTTTAAGAGCTTACTGCAAGATGATCGTCAGAGAAATTGGCTGAAAGACTTAGAGGAGTCCAGCAAGTTTCATCCATGGAATCTTTGTAACCACTTCCATCATCTTTCAATGGTGAAGCAGAAACAATAGCAGCAGCGTAGATCAATCGTCTCACACCTGATCTAACACATGACATTGCTATAGTCTTTGCTGTGGCAACTGCAGCCTCAGTAGTATTCTTGAACTTCACGGCAGGAACATAAAAAATGAGGAAAGTTGATTAGATTACAAATTTCTTCAATTCTAATGATGAGACGAGGGACAAACCTGGTAGCCTTCGGTGTGCTGCAAGGGAGAAGCAAGGTGGAAGACATATTGACAGCCATTGATGGCATGCTGAAACTCAATTGGATTATATATATTAGCTTGAAACAACAGCAATCTTGAATTTGCATTCGGAAGGCTCTTCAAGATATCAACCTTCGATGCATCACCTACATTAAAATTTCATGAAACATATGGCAAACACAATACCTTCAAGAAAAGAACAGAGAGAGTAGAGACTCATTTACCCAAGTTCCTCAATGTTCCATGGACGGTGTATCCTTCATCTAAAAACTTCCCGATCAGCTCAGAGGCGATGTAACCAGCACCTCCTGTAACACATACCCTGCACTCATTTTTCTCCATTGCAAGTGCCTAAATGCAGAAAATTCTTCCTAGAGCCCCGTTGCACCAAAAGCCCTGTTTATAAAGCAGCAGAGGAGAGCAGACATACTTGAAACCTGTGCATAAGCTAAAATTTTATACACCACAAGTGCAAATTAAAATGCATTAACTATGATTTCAAGGTGCTATACTATTATTTAAATGGGTAGCTTCCCTAGGACATAATGGCGTGTGGTCTGAAGTCATATTTT